AATGAGGAGGATGAGGATGGGCGAGGAGGAGGAGGAAGTATGTTTGGAGAATGGGGGGACGGACGAAGAGAAGGGAAGGATGAATAAGAATCAGATGAACGTGAGAACGATTCCAGATGTAATGTATGGTCTTGGGGGGCAACCATATATATACATATGTACACATCTATATATACACATATCATGCACATCTACATACACATACATCTACACAAACACATGCATGCTCATGTACATGCACATACGCATACACATATACATACACATATACATGTTCATACATGTGCATATATAAGCATAGCCAAATAGATCAATGACTAGACCCCCCCAAGCCTGGGTGGCACCCAGTCCGCAAGCTTCCGGGACAGCTTTTTGCTACCCTCAGTGGTCCGCGTCCCAGAGGCGGCCTGGAGGGGCTCAGGGGGCCCCAAGACGGGACAAAATGGTCCCAGGAAGCGCCCAATAGGGTCCAAGAGGTTTCCAAGACAGATCAAGAGCAATCCACGACGCCCAAGATGGCCCCAAGACGGCCCATGGGACTTAAAATGAGCTCCAAGAGCGCTCGAAGATGGCCTGAAGCCCCCAAGACCGCCCCAAGACGGCCCAAGAGGGCCCCAAGACGGTCCGCGAGGGACCCCAAATGGCCCACGAGGCGCCCAAGGTCGTTCAAGAGGGCCCTAAGACGGCCCCAAGAGGAGCCCAAGAGGGGGAACACGAACCGACAATTCGGGCCTGCCGCCCCAAGAGGCCCCAAGAGGCCCTCAAGAGAGCCCAGAAGGTCCCTTAGAGGCCCCAGGATGCTCCCAAGAGGCCCAAACAGAGGCCCCAAATGACACCCAGGCGGCCCGCAAGAGGCCTCCAAACATGCTCCAAGAGGCCCCCGAGAGGTCTCCCACGATATCCAATCGAACTTCCAAGAGGTCTCTAACCCACAACCCAGTCACGCTGGCGAACTGGGCCGAAGGCCACTAAACGGTCCGAGACGGCCTTAAAAGACGGCCTTCGGACGGCCCATGAGGCCCCCAAGATACCCAAAAGGCTTCCAAGAGGTCTTCCAAGAGAGCTCGAAGAGGCCAACAACCATTGATGTTCCTTAGGTTGTTGAGCAATTTGGGCGTTTCCGGATGTTCCGATTCCCGACGCTACGCCCCCAGGTTGCCCCGAGGATCGCCCTAAGACAGCTCCAAAACGACCAATGAGACACCCAAAGCGGCCCGAGAGGGCCCCAACCGTCGGGAACGTGAATCGAGAACCCGAGATCTTCGCCCCAAGAAACCCAGGAGGCCCCAAGAGGTCCCCAAGAAGCCCCAAAGAGGCCCAAAAGAGGCCCCGAGGGCACTTGAAGAAAAGGTCGTTCCACCATGTCCCGTTTTTCAGGTTCGCCTGGTTGCTTGGCTTGCGAACACAAAAATCACCGGGGGACGTACCCAAACCTTTTTAAGCACGTGTCGAGCACACATCAAATCGCTCAGCAATCATTCAATGGTCCGCAATGCCCTTGAACGTTTAGCCAAATAACGTCGGGCCAGAGTCAGGTGTTTCAGATATGCGTCGTCACTCTTAAGAGTCAGGTGGTTGGCAGGAGAGCGACCGCGAGGGGGCGTGGAAACATGTGGAGGAGGGCCGATTGGAGACATACTTCGCGTGAGCAGCAGCGCCTTGCGCTGTGTTCGCATTGGAGGACAGCGCTCTGCGCGCTATGACAGTACAGCGCCCTGCGCTAAACGTAGCGTGTGCCCGCATGCGTTACAAGCAACAGGCAGCAGGCAGCTGAAGAAGGGATGCGGCATGGGCAACGGACAGCGCCATGCGCTTTTCGCTGCGCGGCGCTCGCACACGCCGCGACGTGCGATCTAACAGTGCCATGCGCTATGCGACGGGAAGAGGTCGTGCGTCCACGGGGCGACTATACGCAGGGCTGGGATCACACCTGCTTGCGCCTCATGCGTTCAGCCCTTTGCCTGACTGCCGCTGGGTTAATATACCCAGCCGCCCATGCTTCATGGGATTGGTGGCGACGGTTTCGCAGATCGCAGCCCCCCAGGGACGGCGAGATCTCATGGTGGTCCCCGTGGGGCACCCCTCCGCTGGATCTCCCAGGAGCCCGCGCAAGTGGTGACATTTTCGCAGATCGCAGCCCCCCATGGACGGCGAGGTCTCATGGTGGTCCCCGTGGGATGCCCTCGGGTGGACTTCCCAGGAGCCCACGAAGGTGGCGACAGTTTCACAGATCGCAGCCCCCCTAGGGACGGCGAGGTCTCATGGTGGTCCCCGTGGGATACCCCTTCGGTGGACCTCCCAGGAGCCCACGAAAGTGGCGACAGTTTCGCAGGTCTCAGCCCCCCAGGGACGGCGAGGGCTCGTGGTGATCTGCCTGGGACGCCCCTCCGCTGGACCTCCCAGGAGCCCACTAAAGTGGCGACAGAATCGCAGGTCGCAGCTCCCCAGGGACGGCGAGGTCTCGCGGTGATTTGCGCGGGACACCCTTCCGCTATACCTCCCACGGGCCCACGAAATTGGCGACAGTTTCGCAGATCGCAGCCCCCCAGGGACGGCGAGGTCTAATGAAGGTCACCGTTGGATCCCCCTCCAGTGGACCTTCCAGGAGCTCACGAAAGTGGCGGCAGTCGCGCAAATCGCAGCCACGCCGGGAGCCACGAGGTCTCGTCTGGGTGTGCGCGGGACACCACCCCGCTGGCCCTCCCAGGGGCCCCCCGATGGTGGCGAACGTCGCGGAGCTCGCATCTCCCAAGAGACGGCGGGGCCGCTTTTCCGGTCTTCTTAAGACATCGCTCCGCCGGGCCGGGCATCCCAGGAACCTACGAAAGTGGCGACAGTTTCGCATATCGCAGACCCCCAAGGAGCCTCGATGTCTCGTTTGAGTGTGCGGTGGTCACAATTCCGCTGGCCCCCCCCAAGAGCCCACTAAAGTGGCGACAGTCGCGCACATCGCAGCCCCCCAGGGAGCAGCGAGGTCTTGTTTGAGTGTGCGTGGGACACCACTCCACTAGCCCTCCCAGGAACCCATGAAAGTGGCGACAGTCTCGCATATCGCAGCCCCCCAGGGACGGCGAGATTTCGTTTGGGTGTGCGGTGGACACCACCCCGCTGGCTTTCCCAAGAGTCTGCGACAATGGCGAGACTTGCGCAGATCGCAGCCCCCCAGGCATCAGACGACGATGATGATGATGATGATGATGATGATGATGATGATGATGATGATGATGATGATGGTGATGGTGATGGTGATGGTGATGATGATGATGATGGTGATGGTGATGGTGATGGTGATGGTGATGGTGATGGTGATGGTGATGCTGACGATCACGATCACGATCACGACCACGAACACGATGTTGATGATAATGGCGTTGGTGATAATAGTGACGATGTTTTGGATGATGACGATGGTGATGATGATGATGCTGATGGTGCTGATGATGATGGTGCTGATGATGATGATGACGATGATGATGACGATGATGATGACGATGATGATGACGATGATGATGATGCTAATGATGATGATGATGATGATGATGATGAGGATGATGATGATGATGATGATGATGATGATGATGATGATGATACTGATACTGATGCTGATGCTGATGCTGATGCTGATGATGATGATGATGATGATGATGATGATGATGATGATGATGATGATGATGATGATGGTGATGGTGATGAGTCCCCGCAGGCAGGAGCCGCAGGAGTGGGAAGAGGAGGAGGAGGCGGAGGAGGAGGATGGGGGTAGGAAGGAAGGAGAACGGACGCGACCACACTGCACTATTCAAAACGAGTACCTCAACCACAGGAAGGGCTGCAAATATCATATGTCCTCCTCCTCCTGTTTCTCCTCCTCCTCCTCTGCGGCCTCCTCCACCCTCGCCAACTTCTCCTCCTCCTCCTCTCGCAGTGGGCCCCTTCACCTCCCCTTTTCTCCTCCCTCTTCCTACGGCCACGTCCAGACGAGGCGAACAAAAGGGTCCCCGATATGCCTGTTGGGCCTGTCTTGGGCCGCCGAGGGCGGACTGTACGACGTCTCGGAGGCCACTTGGGCCATGCTCGCGGCTATTGGAAGCCCCGGAGAAGAAGTACGAGAAAATTGAGACCCCCAAGAGTTCGACCATTCAGCCTATCCAGAGCTTGAGCGCGCGCAGAGCGCGCGACAAATCTACTGAATGCATATACGCACATGTAGATCGATTCACAGATCTGTATGTGTATGGGTTGTACATACTGAACATATATATATATATGTATGTATTCTGTAGGTAGGTAGGTAGGTAGGTAGGTAGGTAGGTAGGCAGGCAGGTAGGTAGGTAGGTAGTAGGTAGGTAGGTAGGTAGGTAGGTAGGCAGGCAGGCAGGTAGGCAGGTGTGTGTATGTATATATTTATATATACGCATGCATGCATGCATGTATGTATGTATGTGTGTATGCATGTACCCCATATATGTATACAATTGTGCATGTTTGTGATTATGTGTGTGTGCGTGCCTGCGTGTGTGCGCGTGCGTGTGTGTGACAGAGAGAGAGAGAGAGAGAACGTGTGTGTGTGTGTGTGTGTGTGTGTTTTGTGTTTGTGCTTGACGATGCTGACGTCCAGGGTACCCAAGACGACCCCCAGGGCATCCAATACGACCCAACAGACCCCCACGAGAGCGCCAGCACGTGCCCAAAAGGCATTTTTACGGCACGCTCGGAGGTTAGGCCGCCAGCAACGCTCTGGAGGCCTGTGAAGAGGTCCATCGGGGATTCTAGACAGCGCGCGAGAGCGCCTGGGATCGTACATGACTCGGACATCTTGTCCCTTGCAACAGCGTGTGCAATTTTCATCACGGAGAGTTCGACGGGCCCTGAGGACGCTCTACTCAGTGCCTGCGGTACGGTGGGTGTGTGCTCCCTCTCCCGACCCTTCTCGCTCCCTCCCCCCTTCCCGGGGGGGGGGAGGGAGGAGAGGAGCGTGCCACGGTCGTGGCCCCGGCCGCGAGGAGGCGGAGGACTACCCAGCGGCGTTTTTCGATGATTTCGAGGCGCCAGGGGCTTCGCCGGCGGCGTCAGGCGGGGCTGCAGGGGGGCACACGGGGCACCTGCCAGATCGGGGTCCACCCCTCTTTTGCTGACCAGCGTCCTCTCTACCATGCAGCAGGCCCCACCGCCAGCTTGGAGCTCGTCTCTCCGCGCGCCTCTTGCGACGGTCGCCTTAGCGCACCTCGCTGAGGCAAGGAAGGTTCAAGCGAAACCCGACAAGAAGTGTCGAAAAGCACGTGGGTCCTGGGACTGAAGCGGTTTGGGGTGAACAGCACAAAGCCGCTGGTAGCCGCCCAAGAGTTGCCGCAGTTGTGCCCGCCTTTTCTCCTCAGCCTGTCTGTGTGTGAGCGCGCCGCAGAAGGCGGCTCCCAGCAGCCAAGGAATCGCAAGGCGCACCAAGCCACAATCCAGCCCACTCTCCAGCCCTTTCTTCTTGCCGCGGCCGCCGTCCGAGGGGAGGAAGGAGGAGTGGAGATGGGGGAGGCTCAGGGCGAGGCTGCACGAGCACGAGCTGCAGGAGCGACAGTAACCGCAGGGCCATTGACGAAACTCCCTGAGAGATCTTCCCTCTTTGAGTCTTTCTCCGCGGGGGCGTCGGCTGTGTTGGCGACCCTCCCCCTCCCCTCTCCCGCCCCTCTCTGTCGTGCCTGCTGCTTCCCCTGGCCCGTGCTCCCTTATCTCCTCCTCCTCCTCCTCCTCCTCCTCCTCCACCTCCTCCTCCATTCCCTTTCTCTCTTGTCCCTCTGTTGCTCCTCCTCGTGATGCCCCTCCGTCGGTCTCCCTCTCCTCCAGGGGCAGCCCCCCCTTTTGGGTGATGGGCCACCTTTTTAACACCTGCTCAGCCCTCGGGTACTGATCTGGACATGGCAGCGTCGGTACGTTTCTATCGCCATCAGTGTCCAATATCCGGAAAGCGGAGGGGCGGAGTGGGATTGGAGCCTCATTCACGATGCGTATTACTCCGTTCACCGGGTGAACGTCGATGTCTTGGGCCACAGGGTCCTGTTAGGGGCCATCTTGGGGATCTTGGAGCATTCGGGCGCCCTCCTGGGTGTCGGGGCTGGTCCGGAGAGTCTCAGGGCTTTCTGGCGTCGAGGAGCCATCGTCGAACGAATTTGGAGGGTCTCGAAGCCCTCGTGGGCCCCTAGGAAAACAAAGTGTTTCACCGAGAGCGAAACACTTTTCGGGATCTTCGCCCAAAGATCGCTGCGAAAAATCCTCCCCCCTCCTCTGTTCTCCCTCCTCCTGGATCCCGCGCCCCCCGGCGCCTCTCGAACGAGGAGGCCCTTCGCCCTCGCAGCGAACTTCCCCCCCGAAGTGCACGGATGCTGACATCCGCGCGGTTCTTTGCGACGTCGATTTGGATCATCCAGGGGCCACCGTGGACCCTAGCGGGCTTCTGTCTTGTCGGGTCCTGTGTGGCCCTCGGCACCTCTCGATCATCCTCCTCTTCGATGCTCTCGATCCTCTTCCCTCCGTGGACGCCGGGGCCTCCCTCCTTATCGATGCTCATTCCTCCCCCTCGATTCCCTCGGTCCCTCCCCCCCTGGATCCTCAATCGATTTTCTTCACCTCCCTAGATTATCCTTCTTCGATAGGGTATAGCCTCCAGACCCCTTGATCCCGTCACGGGGCAGGTTTTATTTCTCCAGAGGCTGAAAATAGTAAAGTATGTCCGCCTTGATTCTTTGAAAAGACGTGAATCCCCAGAGGGGCATCTGCAGGTCCCATGTGCAATCCTTCCGTCACAATAAATGCCCGAGACGTACCCAACCCCTTTTACACGCGGGTGTGCAAAACACGAGCCTAACGTCCGGCGTGCTTCCCCACGAAAGTGGCGACAGTTTCGCAGTTTGCAGCCCCCCGAGGGAGCCGCGAGGTCTCGAAGGGATCCCTGCCCTCCCTCCCAGGAGCTACGAAAGCGTCGACAACTGCGCACTTTGCAGCCCCCGAGGAAGCTGGGAGGTCTCAAAGAGATCTACGCTGCCCTCACCTCCGCCGTGCCTCCCAGGATCCCACGAAAGTGGCAGCAGTTGTGCTGTTCGCAGCCACTTTGGGAGCAGCGCAGTAGGAGGAGGAGGAGGAGGAGGAGGAGCCACACGGCAGGAGGTGGGAGGCAGAGAGGAAACGGGTGGCGGGAGTGGAGGTGGAGACCACAGTGCGATTCACAATGAGAAAACAGAACAGGAGGGTTCCAACAAATAATACATCAGCATTGGAGCTCACGGCTGGATCTCTCGACGCGTTCTCTCTGTAGTATTTCTCGAACCGCATAGATTTGCGCAATAGTCTTCGACCGCATGATTTTTCCAGAAGCTGCATTTCGTGCGAGCCCCAAATGTCATCACCCTGGCAACACGCAGCATCCACAAGCCGAAGGGCGAAACACCGAGCCAAGATCTCAAACACTTCGCCCGGCGAGTTATGCAGCAGTTCTGCCGCCAAGAGGTCTCGTCGAGAACGCGCTTTTTATTTCTTCATTGACATCGCGAGCCTCCGGACCTTGTTAACCGCGCAAATCGTTCCAGGACCAACGTTCCCAGGGCTTCCGCGGCAAAGATGTACCTCCTGGGATCGCCGAGTACGACGTCGAATAAGATTGCGCGGCATGGTCGTTGCAAGCCTCCGCGCTTACTACAATCTCTCCGTTTTCAGCGTGGAGCACGCCGCCCCAAGACGCTCGGCGGAGCGACTTGGCGACCGAGCCCTTCTCGATCAGTATCTCGCACTGCTTGGCGAACTTCTCGCGGGCAAAATGGCGGCGAATGATCGACGCAGCGGCACCGTGGACACGCTTGAGGATAGGCCGCGCTTCCTGGAGCCGTAGATCTCGACATGCCCCGAGCAGAGTTCGAAGAGGACTGCTTTCTGACTGCGCCGCCGCCTTCTCACAATACCGAAGACACAATTTCCAGAGCGGCTGAAGACGCGATATCCGCAAATTGACGCAGAGACGGTAATGGCCGCCCTTTCTGGGCAACGCGTAGGTGAGACGCCGCGTCGATGTCCGTCACCTCCGAATCCGCCCACTCGACGCGCGGGAGCTGTTCCACTCTACGTGTCTTGCCGGGCCTGCCCGTAGCCTCCATCCCCAGCAAGAATGGGGCACGGCAGCGCGCCAGTTCGCCCCTGGGGCAAAAGCGCAGCTCCCACTCGGGATTCAAACGACGCCCAATCCATATGATGAAGTTGGCATCCGCGCCACCGGGCTTTGAAAGGGTGGTCCGCGCCAGGATCGCATATTCGTTCCCAATGTCACCTGAATGCGAACGTCACCATTCCGGATGTATGACTCACATCACGTTGCGGAGCTCGTTCCTGAGAGACAACAATGCCAAAGCCAAGGCCACGTTTGCTTTGGGGGTAACCGCTTCGGTCAGGACGCCACTCACATGCACCGCGTCGAAAACCGCGGCGATTGCTGACCCTGCGAGAATGGCTGGATTGTCAGATTGGGCCTGCCATAACAACCAAATGCACATTTCGGTCGATGCGGAGTTCCGCGGTCGCGTTGGCCCTGCGAACGGCGCCGAGAAAACTCGGATCAGCAGGGAGGAGCACGGCAGATCCGCAACTCTGGTGCAATGGGACATCGTTAGGACTTGGGTGGGTAGATCGGAAGACGGCGAACACCCATCCGCACTGGAGCTCCATATTTCCTCTGCGTCTATTCCGCAAGCCCGTGGAAGTAAAACTACCATCGCAAAGTGATACCGAAAACCTCGCCCTCGATAACCAGGGGGTACTTCGAAGCCTCCTCCCGGCAAAAAGCCTGAAGCATTGCGTCGGTATAGGCACCTCTATCCTTAACCAGCCATCCTACTGGTTTCGGCGGTAAACGCTGCTGCTCCGGCTCCGTTTCCTGAGGTCGGGGATCATGCAAGCTCGAGTGCTGGTTTGGCCTCCGTGCCGGAGGCTCCCGTCTGGCATTTGCGAAGAGATGGCGTCTCAACCAGAATGTAATTGATGTGATTCGGCTCGGCGCGCAAATTGTAGAAGCAAATGGAACGCCCATCGTCGGATTGATTCGGCAAGCAAGTGTTCGCTGCAACCAAATTGCGGCGAGACATAATCTCGAATAAACTTGTGGCCTTCCATTCAGCAGGCCCCCCAAAAGTCAAGCCCGATTTGGCGACCTGTGGAATCAGCATCTCGGAGGTTAGTCTGGGCAGCGTTCCCGAAAACTGCACGGGCATCAAAAGGCTTCCGCGAGAGGCACAACTCAAGGTCATCCAAAGAAATATCGCACGGTGTACGTCCAGTCGCGGGGTCGAGGTGCGCGGAGATACACCGCCGTTTGCCCAAGCCCGGGACAACTAGACCAATTGCTACTGCACGGCCGTGGAAAACAGCCTCGCCATCGACAGATGCCACAAGTGATTGGTGAACCACTATACCTGGCTGTCGGACGCCCCCGATGGAGGCATCAACGAATGCTTGGTAGCCGTCAACATCGAAGGTTGTGTCTTTTAATTTAGTCGAACCGTTAAGCGTTCGAAACAATACTACGCTCCATGATTGCTCCGTGTACAAAACTTTGAGCACGTCTTCCCACCCATTATTTGGCACGCCCCGCACATTCCAAGATAAGAATGTGATGTACCAATCCAAAGGAAAGTGGAATATGCATGCTTCCTGGTGCCGTGCTCAGGGAGGGGTCGGGGGCGCGGCGTTGATGGTCTCCAGAACTGAACTGATCTGGATCGGGATCCGCTGACGATCCACAGCGCTTTGAGCATCCTGGCACGCTCGAAAGAAATGGTTCGAACGGTCCTGCTTCAAGATCTTCTCTGCGGAGAGTCGTTCTCGTGACCTGGTAGGAATTTCGCCAGGAGGACATCGCCGTTGGCGTTCAGGTCGTGGATCGCCTTCTCCGTCGTCTCCTTCTCGAAGTTTGCGCCGACCATGGCTACCGCGATGAGCTCCTTCGCCTTGCGTTGACGCGTGCTCATGTCCAATTCCTAATCGTATTTGTCGGTTCCGTGCCATAGCTGTCGAGTGCCAGGCTGGGTGCCTTCACGACGGGACGCCGCTGCCAACGTGCTCTCGAGCTTCCGGCCCTGCATCTTCAGGAAGTCCCACATCGCGTCGGAGTTGTTGAAGACCAGTTTCACGTTGGTGGTGAAAGCGCCCACAGGGAAGATTTTCTTGTAGTTGGCGATACCCTCGGAGCGGAAATGCGTCTCGACGTAAGCCTTGAGTTTCGACCCCTCCTCGTACTTGAAGCCGCCGATGTTGACGGTCCAGCGATCCCGCACTTGTACAACACCAACTGGCAGTACTGTGGAAGCTGCCACCAAATATTATCGAATTCGTGAGGTGGCTTCGGACGAACCTGCTCGACATTGTTCGATGGCTTCTACTCTTGACGTCAAGGCATTGATCTTCTCACCCTGCTTCTTCTGGGTCTCCTCCACTCCATGCTGCACGGAGACCTTGAGGCCTGCGACATCCTGCTAGATAGGTTCGATCTGGTCCCCCCCCCAAAGCATTGAGCAGGCGCATCTCCCCTGCTTCGAGGCCCATTCCATGTTCCTGAGCAGAGGCCTCGATACGAGCCTTCTTGGTCTCTTTCGTCTCCGCCATTGCAGAGGCAACAAGGCAGCGAGCATTCCGTTCCTTTCTGTTTTGGGTAGGCCGGGGTGTTAACAAATCGCACCCCCCCCCAGCGCTTGACTTGACCCTCATTAGAGCCAACATGGCTTGAGCCAACATGGCTACGACGACGACGACGACGACAGACGGCGACGGACGACGGACGACGCTTCTCCCGCCTCTGCGGACGGTTGGCCACCCCCATCCCTTGAGAGGGGGGGGGGGGGGCGTGCTCCGTGGATGGGTGGGGGGGGGGGAGACATCGAGCTGGAATCGGCGATATGTTGCGGATAGATCGGCGGCAGAGCCCCGATAGCGAAGCCTCACGTGCCTGGCCGGGGTGGGTCATCGGGCCCCAATCGGCGACGTATGGGCGATTGGGGCCAAAGCATCCCCTCTGAACCTGTCCCCCCTGACGTTGGCCCTGACCACCTGGAGGCATGCTTAAGTCGGGCCTGTCCCTCCACAGGGGGAGTGTTCAAAAACAGTCAAACAATAGTCTGAGGAGCATTTTTTGAGTATTTAGGGGCATCTTTGGGGCAATTCGTGAGTATTTTTCATGTTTCGCCCAAAATCCCCCTGTAGGGGGACAGGCCCGACCTAAAGGCATGCCCATCAGTTGCGCGCAGGGAGCGGCCCAGCCGCAAGGAGCAGCCTCTTGGCGCGCGGATCATCGGCCGTTGCGGGCTCGGTGCGACGGCAGTTGCCGGGCTGCTCGGGTTCCCACCCGCCCCCCCCCCCCCACCCGGAAGCCGCGCACCCACCAAAGGACATCCCAGCGAGGCGCGTTTCGCACGCGAGGCGGCCGAGCCCAGCCAGTGGAGTGACCGAGGGGGAAGAAGTCGTGCATGTTATTGTTGTCTGATATAGCTGGTCTTCGAAACATCCGGATCAATGCACGTCAATGTGCTTTTCGTCGTGGATCTCAGTCTTGCGAGAGAAGTTTCATACCTCACCAAGTCACCGAGAAAGCGATCGAGCACAATCTGAACCTGACCATGGGGGTGGGGGATCTGCGGAAGGCGCACGACAGAGTCGACCGCATTGAATGGGCAGCGGGCTCCGAAGAGGCCAGCGCCCCCCGCGTCATAACCGCGGCTATGGTCAGAGAGGTACGGGGAGGCTTCTGGCCGAGCGTGCCTGCCTGCACGGGGGCCGAGCAATGAGGGCACCACGGAGGCCCGGAGGCTCGTACTGCTTTCAACATCGTGCTGGACATGCGAGCGGATGTACCCTTCATGCAGGTGGCGGATTTGAAAGGCTGGTGGTTCCCACTGGACCACGAAGACTTTCAGCGACCAGAAGCGAAGCATCCTCGTGCGACAATTTTTCGATTGAGATGGCGAGGGCGCCTATGCAACGTGTACCACTTCTCAGATTCGCCGGTAACTTTTTTTTCTGAACTTGCCGAAAGATGCTGACCGCTCTGGCCGACGAGTGGCACAGGCTATTCCATAGAGCAAGATTCTGGGTTGACTTGAAGGACTTTGAATGGACGGAAACAGAAAAATGTGACTCTCTCCGCCCTCATCCCTCTCTGTCTTTTTCCGACCCCATTTATAGCGATGCTAGCCGGAACCTTGACACCCCCCCAGCAGCCATCCCTGTACAGCTGTAGCCAAGGGATGTGGGCGTCAAGGCTCTAGGCGTCCAGCAAACTTTTAACAACGACTGCACGGTGGAAGTCGACCACTGGATTGCCCAGGTCTGGGGCGTTTTCAATCGACATTCTCAGCTTTCTTTGCAGCAGGCGCGGTTCGTTGCGGAAGCGTCTGCACTTGTCGCATAGAGTCGTAATCCCAGCCCTCCTGTGTAATATAGGGGCGTGCAGTTTGACGCAAATCCATCTCCAGAAGTTCCGCGCGATCGAAAACCAGATGATGATGCGCATTTTGCGCATGCGGCTTCACGATGACGAGGCTGACGGGGATTTCGAAATGAGTTGTTCTGAATTCGCCCTCGTGCTGTACATAAAAAAAATACAATCTGCCCCGATGAGACCCTATAGCAGTGACGTGTGTTTGGGCACGTTGCACGCTTTCAGGGGTGCGCGCCCGACCGTCGAGCTCTCAAGGCGCTCGCTTTTCGTGACTGCGATTACTTACACAAGCTTCAACATGTATACGGAGGCCAACTCTACGGACGCAAGTGTAAAGTATGGAGGTGGGAGCTCAAATTCGTACGCATCTTAGGCCATGACTGGAAGACCCGAGCTCAGGATCCGGAGCTGTGATCTGCGACACATGGGTTGAACAGCGGCTGCAGTGGACAATGTTTTAAGTCATCCAGGTTTTGCTTTGAACTTCACGTAAAGACCCCGTTGACGGCTAGCCGAAAGTGGTACCGAGTAGCCGGTGGAAAGAAAGAAATCATCGTCGTCGACGCCGTCCTTCGTCGTCGTCGTCGTCGCCGTCGCCGTCGCCGTCGCCGTCGCCGTCGCCGTCGCCGTCGCCGTCGCCGTCGCCGTCGCCGTCGTCGCCGTCCGCCGTCCACCGTCCGCCGTCCGCCGTCCGTCGTCGTCGTCGACGTGGTCGTCGTCGTCGTCGTCGTCGTCGTCGTCGTCGTCGTCGCCGCCGTCGCCGCCGTCGCCGCCGTCGCCGCCGTCGCCGTCGTCGCCGTCGCCGTCGCCGTCGCCGTCGCCGTCGCCGCCGCCAGCGCTGGCGCCGTCGCCGTCGCTGTCGCCGTCGTCGTAGTCGCCGTCGCCGTCGTCGTCGTCCTTGCCGTCGTCGTCGTCCTTGCCGTCGTCGTCGCCGGCGCCAGCGCCGTCGCCGTCGCCGTCGTCGCCGTCGCCGTCGCCGTCGTCGTCGTCCTTGCCGTCGCCGCCGTCGTCGCCTTCGTCGTCGTCGTCGTCGTCGTCGTGGTCGTCGCCTTCCGCCGGTCGTCGTCGCTGTCGGTCAGTCGTCCTCCTCCTCGCCGTCGGTAGGGCGTGGAGGGCAGGCGCGCGGTGGCCGGAGACGCCTTCCCAAGCGGCGTTCGCCGCGTCGGCGGGCCGAGTCGGGCGCCGTCCTTCCGAGATTTCAGTCCCGTCCGATGGTGAGGACGCCTACTGCGGCTCCTTCGGGGAGCGCGCCCCCCACCCAACGGGGGGGCGGGGTCGGGAGAGGATCGGGCTGGAAGAAAGGGGGGGATTGGGAAAGGGGGGGTTAGGAAACCTTCTGCATGCAGCCGGTTTCGGCCCCGCCGACAGGCCCATTCCTCGATACATGGGCGCCTCTGGCTCCGGGAGGCGCCGGGGAAATCAGCTACGTGAGCTGATTCTCAAACCCCCCCTTTGCCATCCCCCCCTTTCGCCCGACTCGACCAACGGCGGGGCGGGGTCAGGAGAGGAAGAGGCGCCGTCAGCCTCGCAGGAGAGGATGAGGATGTCAGGAGATCAGACGTCGGGAAATGTCAGAAAGGCCGCCGCGGCGCCGTCGGGGAAGGCGCACCCCGCCCAGAGGAAGAGGTCAGGCGAGGAAGATGTGCCCATGCCGCTATGCCAGGTCGGGGGCGGGGAGAGGTCAGGGGACATCGAGGATGGACGACCACTGCGGCTCCCTCCTTCGGGGAACGCACTCGCCCAGATTGAAGGGGAACTGGGACACACAAATAAATACACAAATACAAAGATTCCCCATATTTCCCAATCTTTTCTGGGTTTTTGTCTTCCCCCCACTTCCCATATTTTCGCATATTTTCTGGGGAATCGACGATTAATTGTGTGTGTGTGTGTTTTCCCTCCTGACAGATGGAGGATCTCAGGCAGGTTGGGTGTTCTTCTGTCTGGTCTTCCGCTGTGCTCGGCCACCACCCTTTCCTGCGTGCGCGTGCGCAACTAGGCTTATGATGTTCCAGCCTACTTTGGCCTTGATCACGAGAAAGATTTTCGAGCACCCAAGAAATACCGAAACTCGATGATTTTCACGTGTCGGGCCCTGGGAGACACTCGTCCGACACAGTCTGGACAATGTTTCGACACTTTTCCGGGAGCTCGAAGCTATTTCTGGGATGTGGTCCTTAAGCACGACGGGGGCAACATAAAATTCGGCGTCTCGTTAGCCAGCCGCGCGCGGTCCGCGTGCGGCCCGACTGACGCCTCAAGCCCTGGAGCGCTTGCGGCTCGGCCAAGGAAGGCGCCCGTGCCGTTATACCCTTCTCTCGTCGCCTCGCAGGGCTGGACCTAAACGGTGTTTTGGCGAGTTCGTGGGCCGTTTTCGTTTCGTTTCGTTGTGAAGGCGGATTGAAGACAACACGAGGGGAAAACGAAAACAAAACGAAAACGAAAAACACCGTTTAGGTTCAGCCCTGTCGCCACGGCCGGATGCGTCTCGAGAATCTGGCTGGAGCGCATCCTGAGTCCTGTGGAGAGGTCCGAGAAGTAGCCGGTGTGGGGTATCGTTTTTGCTTCCCCGTTGGGGGGGGGCGGGCGCCAGGCGGGGGGTGGCAGGGCGGGGGAGGGGCGGGCTTGCAGCACCCGAGCCCGCAAGAGAAGGGCGGGGGATGGTGAGGTGTGCAGTGCGGAACACCTGGCGACGCTCCACCTCCGACATAGGAGGGAGTCAGATCAGAGGAGACAACGGTACCCATACCTCTACCCTTCGCCCAGTTTCCCCTTTTGGGGTCTCCTGGGGTGCCTTCGTCGCCACCGCTGCATTCGCCTCGAAATTCTGGTCAGAACGCACCCCGGGAGAGGTCCGGGGAGTAGCGGTATCGGTACCTTTTGGTTTCCTAATCAGAGGGAGGAGGCAGGTGAGTCGAGATGAGAGCGGTCGCGAAGTGAGTGCAAACAAAGTACCCCCCGAAGGCGACGAGACACGCGACGGTGCAGTAGCCCACCAGCACCGCGTCTCCAGTCCAGTGGCGCCGAGGCAGAGCAACCAGACGTACGCAGTGCAAACACCTAGGCCCAGGCTGCGCGGCTATTGCAAGATACTGAACAGCATAGGGGTAGTCAGGCTAAGGTCAGGCAACGCTACTGCTGTTTCCAACCATGCTCTTTCAGATCTGCTTACACCCTTCATTGATGGCTTGGGGTGGCGATGCAGCCGATGCCGATGGTCCGAATATTGCCTCCAGCTGGGTGGATGGTTCCACTGCCGTGATGCTGGAGACGAAGTCGGCAAGCACCTGACCCTCTCGCGCACGAACCGTAACATCGGCGTCTCCCCTCGGAGCTTCCTGAGGATTACTCATGGCACCCTTCTTGGAGGCTTTACGGGCACCGCCATCCCCACCGTCAGAGCTTCCAGCTGCACCGCCAAGGAGAAGGCCAGGCCATGCATGTCGACAGGCCGCCGTCGCCGCTGCGGCCTTTTGCGCCATCGCTATAGCCTCGTTTCCTGGACTCAAGACTCATCAGGGCTACGACGCCAGCGGCTGCGCAAGTGCGCCAGCCGTACCCAGCGCCTTGAGCACGAGGTCGGCCTGCCTCACGACGCACTCCGCCATGCACGGCACGGTCTCGTAGCCGCCCTCGCTTTCCGACACCACATCGACGCAGTGACCGCCCTCGTCGACGAGGTCGTCTGTGAGATGAGGCAGTACCGCACCGAGGAGGCCGAGAGGGACGAAGAAGGACGCCTCGGCTCGCTTACTTCCGCGGACGCCGACTCGGCCTCGCCCTCGGGCGCCGTGCGTTGATCCAGTCGGGGTCCCCGCTGGGCACGGCGCAACTCCGTCGCTCTTGCCGCCACCATGTCCGTGCCTTGCGCGTCGGCGTGGACTGCGACGTTGCGCCGCAGGCGACGTTGCGCCGCAGGCTCTCCAGCTGGGGGGGGGGCGTCGCCTGCACCCGCTGCTCGATCTTGCCGTTGCCCATAGCGGCGCACTCGGCCTTCTCCTCAATTTCTTGGCCATCTCCGGGCCCCGGCCAGCTCGCCCCGGGAGCCGCTGGACGGCGTCGTCGGCATCCCGCGTTGGGCCGCCAACTGCCTTGGCGTGCACTCCGCGCCGTCTCGTTCCATGGACCAGTGACCCCCCAAACCCCGCTCCCGCAAGTATCCCACGCCCGCCCAGTGCATCCACGGCGACGGTACGCGGGGCACAGGGTCCAGGAGCAGGAGGCCTACGGACCGTCTTTGAGCCAACATTTCTACAGAGGAGGAAGGGAGGCGGAGGGAATGGGGGGGAGGGGGGAGCAGGAGAGGGAGGGGAAGGGAGGAGGTATGGACCGAGCATGATGACAACTACTGCGACTCATTCGGCTAACGCCCCCCCCATTCGAGGAGGAGGGGGGGTTGGAGGAGGAGAGATGGAGGATCGAGGTTCGAGGATGGAGGTGTTTAGAAGTGTTCTAGCATTTTTTGTGCAGGCGTGTGCCCTTCAGCCCTCCGTGTTGGAAGTGCTTGGACGTCCTCCCCCACCCTCCCTCCCTCCTTCGTCCTCCTTTTCCTCCTCAATCCTTCGCATCCGTCACTCTGCCGCCCCTCATCCTCCATGCTCCTCCCCGCTCCGCCTCCTCCGTCACAATCTCAACTTTGGGATCTAATGAGGTACATGTTGGTGTCCCTGATGGGTGCTGAGAAGCCCTCCTGATGAGCAGGCCCCTTTTTGTGGCGCGTCTGAGACGGCTGTGCCTCTAGCATCTCGATGCTGCCAGGCGTGCGACAGCGGAGGGCTCCAGGACATCGGTTTCCAAGGCGTTGGTTTCGAATGTGGACTGATGATCGCTTGATCGCTCCATCGGCTTTCTTCGACACTCTGAGAGTGCACCTACAGTCAACCCGCCTCGTAAAGATGAGTAGTGTTCCAAGGGTTTCCGTGCATCCTTGCCTGCCGGCCCGCCATGATTCTCGGCCGTAGGCCATGGGTGGCCCGTTTCGGTTCCACTGGGCGTCACAGCGCCTTCAATCCCTACCGCGTATCCTCATGACCCTGTCGCAGTGGCGCAGCGCGCGTGCGCGCCGCCCGCGGTGAGAGGAGGCGTTCCCCGCCCTCATGTGCCCGCACAAGACGGACTCGACGGTCGGCGACGGCTTGCTGAGACCTGTCATCTTGTGGGCTCGCGTCGCGCTCCGTCCCAGGCCACCGCGAGAAAACGGGAACGTCCTCGTGGGATGAAGGTGGGCAGCGTCCAAAGAGGGGGCGAGAACCAGGTGTGTGTGTGTGTGTGTGTTTGTGTGTGTGTGTGTGTATGTGTGTGTGTGTGTGTGTGGACATCGTGGCCTCCCCCGCTCCGTTGCTGCACGCCCCTCGGCCCGCACCCGTCCGCGCGCACGTCTCGGGCCACGATGCGCCCCGCCCCCCCCCCTCCTTCCCGGACACCCCCCCCCTTTCAGCGGACACGCACGCCCTCCAGCTCCACGGCCTCACGGACCCCCTCCCCCGCACCCCGACGGACATCGCGGCGGGACGGTTCGGCGCTATTCGGCCCCTGGGGGCCGCTCCCCCGCCCCAGCACGGTCGGAAGACGACTCGGGACGAGAGGCGCGTCCTGCAGGGGTCCCAGGGGTCCCACGTACACACACACACACACACACACACACACACACACACACACACACACACACACACACATCACACGATTCGTGGCCTCATGGGGAGCTCCACCGAAAGCTTCAATAGCAGGGCTCATATGCGTCCCAAGCCCAGTTTGTGCACACCCCTGACACGGTGCGTGGCTTGATAGGGAGATTCAGGGAGTTTCGCCGAAGGCCCTTGTGGCAGGGTTCGCATGCGTCACGAGGGGGGGGGGGAGGGGGGGCGAAGGAGTCGAGGGGAACGAAAGTCGAAAGCGGGAACTACATCCAGCGGCATGCGGCAAGCCCCCCCGCCGCGCCGTCGCAGCATTGCAGCGTCAAGGAGGCTGAGCTGAAGGCGCACACTGGAGCTTCTCTGGGGCCTCTTGAGGGCCTCTCGGGAGCCTTCGGGTTTCGTTTGGGAGGCCCGTCGGCTCGGGGTGGACGAAGGTCGTGGGCGGGAGATCCATCCCTGCCCATGGCCCCGCGATCCAGCCTCCCTGGCCTCGGGTCTTCGTTTCGCCCGGGATGAAAGGACGATGACGGTCCTGCGGCATGGCAGATTGCCGATTTCCCGCTCATCTCCGAAATTGGTCACCGGTGCAGAGGATCACCAGACAGACGGGCAGACAGCAGCTGGGCGTTTAACAGCGCATTGGCAAATAGGATGGGCGCGCACTGCGCACTGAAGCGTGGCGGATCCCGGTGGAGGGGGCGCTGGGGGCCTTCAAAATCGCATGCCGGCCCACCATTCAAAGGGCGAGACTCACGGGATCACCGTTGCCGAGCAAAAACAAGTGCAGTTGTGGAGGGCGATCAATGGAGAGGAAGCATGTTGCCAAATAACTTCTCCAGGTGTCCAGACATGTGCTAACCATTTGTGGAACACTAACAAACATGTTTACACCATGTTTAGAACATGTTTCCGATATTGTAAACACACTTCTCAGCTCAACGATAGGACTGTCAGGGTGTCCAGGGTCGTGGCATCCACACAAGTTCGGGGTGGCTCTGTGCGGACGCCCCGCTCGGAACGTGTGCGTGGGATCACGTCTCCGTGGTGTCGTGCTTCCGGTGTCTGGACCGCGAGGGCGTGGAGCGTGCATTCGGCGATGTGCGCCGCTCGTGGCTTCGTGGAAGTTCTCGGAGGCGGTGTCTCGCCAAGCGTGTCTTCAAAGGGGAGGGGACGATGAGCGCCCCCCCCAACCCGCTACCGACAACGACATCGACGTCGACGACGACGACGACCGCCGACGTCAACGACGACGACCGCCGACGTCAACGACGACATCGTCGTGGTTTTGGAGATGGTATCCGATGCTGCAGTTCCTCGTGGCCACGGCTGGACGCAGCTCGAACATCTTGATGTGTTAGATGCCAGGATGGGTCTGGTAGCCTTTTCTGAATGGATCTGGGAGGATCGACAGGGACCATGGAAGAAAAGGGTGTTGATGTCTTGGGCCGTTTTCGGAGTCTTCGAGGATCGAAGAGTTTGGGTGTTCCCCGCTCCTCGCTCCTCAAGGAGGCCTCTCGCATTACGGCCAGGTCCGCTCCGGAGCGGTTAAGCTGCAATCCAAAACGCAACCCCGAGGGACGCCGCAGAAAGGCGTGTGCAGTGGAGGAGAGGGGCCTTGAGTCGTGAGGTCGCTCGCCGTCCCCGGGCCCCAGGGGTCGTCGGCACAGGGGGCGTCCAGGTCGTCATCGGCGCCAAGCGCTGGCCGTCAGCCACTCCTGGCGATTTTCGGCGGGCACCTCCCCGAGGCGCATGCTCCTCCCCGCTTCCTCCCGCCGCGCTCGCGCCACGGCGGGCGCGCCCCCGCGGCGGGCTCCGGCGCTGCGCGGAGGCTGAGACAGTAGCGGCTCCGCTTGAGTCGGGCCTGTCCTTCTACAGGGGGAATATTCCAAAATAGTCAACAAAATAGTCTGGAAACTATGTTTTTAGTATTTTGGGGCATCTTTTGAGCATTTGCTTCGTATTTTTTAGTTTTCGTCAAAAATCCCCTGTAGGGGGACAGGCCCGACCTAAGGCTCCGCCTCATTTTACGGCACGTGGACCGGCTGATGAAGCTCAGCCAAGCTCGACATTCGCGATAATGGACTTGGCGAGGTGGTTGCGCTTCGCGCTGAGGTTGAGCGGCTTGGATTCGAGGTCGCGGGGCGCCTGCGGGTAGTCGCGCCAGCAGCTCCCGATCTTGTTGCAGCTCTTGCCAATCGACCGTCTCGTCTGGTCCCTGGCATTGGCGCCAAGGACATGGGTGCGGAAAGGTCGGGCAACAGAGCCATGCGTCATGAAGCCTGCGGCATCCGTAGACCTTAGGCTCGGTCAGCATGCCAGGATGCATGAGGAGGTTTGGCGTGACGCTCATCACGAAGCCGCTCGTTATGATGTATCTCGAGTGTTCGTTGCGGCCGCAGCTCTGGGGCGGCCGCACCCGATGAGCGTCGCGGTGCTCCTCCGAACGCTCCTGGTCCTGCTCCTCTGGCTCCTGCCTCTTGGCGGCAGCCGGTTCATGCAAGGACAATGGCTTGAGCAGGAGCGTCAACGAGTGCCGCGATTGTGTGGGGGTGCGCCGGCTTGGCACGGTAGCATGCCGCGCGTGCGCGGCCAGCCCGTGAGGTCAGTTGCGTGTGTCTCCGTGCTCTTAAGGGCGCCTGCGAACAAGGAACAGAGGACGGAAGTATCGGTCTCAGGACAGTTCTTTAGCTGGACCCCGTGCAGCGTGCCAGATTTTCCCTGGGAGGTGGAGGCGGATCGAGGAGCGAGGGAGAATGGAGGATGGAGGAGGGCCTGCGGACCTGAAGACCCCGGAGGCATCCGGGGACGGAGTGCGAGGAACAACGGAGGAAGCCGAGGAGGAAGGGGGGACGAGGCGTCCAGGACGAGGGCAACGAGACGAGGCGAGGATGTGGATTAGGGGCAGGCGTCACGGGCCTCTCCTCCCTCCCCTCCTCTTGCCAACCTTTTTTCTTTTGATCTTAGTTCTCTTGCTTGGTGCCCCAAGTCCCCTTCTCGGTCTTCGGCTCTCCTTGTTACGTTCTCATCCATCCTTCTCCTTCTGGCAGTGATGATCCGCGGCGGCGCCCCATGCATTTTCCGTACCGCCCGGCTTTCAGAGGTGATCGATCCGTTTTTTACCGTTGCTGTCTCCGTCCTGCCATCGTGTTGACGGGGGCGTGGAGGGGGAGCGGAGGGCGGCGTGGAGCGCCGCAGGAGCCTCGGCGGACACCGGGCATCGGTGACGCGCCGCCGTGGGGAGCCCCCCGGCATGTTCCGCGGAGGTCGTCCGAAGAGCCGGCGCCGCTTCGGCCTCTGCGGGCGGATGCCCCGCGTCGGCGTGTCGCCGATGTTCGGGCGAAGAGAACTATGCACATGCACCGATCCTGGCAAGGCCCATCCTTGACCCAGGATCGGTGCATATGCCTTCCTGGCCAAGGTAGGAGGGCGTATGCACCGATCTTGGGCTCAGGATCGGCCTGGCCAGAATCGGTGCATGTGCATAGTTCTTTTTCCTCTAGATGTGTTGGGTGCGGGTCTCTCAGGAGGGGAAAACACACCCGGACACCATGAATCGTCGACTCCCGGGAAAATATGGGAAAATATGGGAAGTGGGGGGGGGGAGACAAACATCCATAAACTGTCCTGAAAACATGGGGAGTCTGTTCATTTGTGTGTATTGATTTGTGTGCCCTGGGGTCCCTTCAGTCTCGTTCCCGGAAGAGGGGCTCCCACACCAGCTGGCGCGCCTTGACGCCCAACGGCGTCGGCCGACGCCGCAACAGACGGTCGCCAAGTCGCTGTCGTGCAGCCTGCACAACAGGGCGTCGGCAACGGCAACGGTCTTGTCAGGCGGGCCCGTCCCACCCGTCCGTCCTCGTGGTCGGGGGCATCCCTCCCTCGGGGGCAACGGCAGGGGGGGGGGGGCTCAGGGGATACGGATCGACCCCCCCTTCGCCCGCTTCATGGCCGATGCCTGCCCGATAGCCCACGTTGATCCAGACGGTGCGGGTGTGCTGTCGGGGGTTAGCGCCGAAGCGACGATGTGTCGCCGATGTCGGGTCGATGTGTCTCTGCCTGAGCAAGTCCTCCCCCAGCGCTGTCCGTCCATCCCTCCTCGTATTCGTTGCTGCGCGTCCGTCCTCGCTCCCCCATCGGACGGCGGGGAGTCGGAACATAGAAGGCGGGACGGAGGGGCGATGATGACGACGGCGATGATGGCGATGAGGGTGGTGACGATGGTGATGATGATGTTGATTATGATGTTGATAGTGTTGTTGATGTTGATGAGGTTGATGATGATGATGATGATGATGATGATGCTGATGATGATGATGATGATGATGCTGACGATGCTGACGATACTGATTATGATGATGGTGATGATGCCGTTGATGATGATGGTGGTGGTTGTGGTGATTATGATGTTGATGGTGATGTTGATGTTGATGGTGATGCTGATGCTGATGGTGATGGTGGTGCTGATGGTGGTGATCATTGTTATAATGAAAGTGATGATGATGGCAACGGTGATAATAGTAATAATACTGATGATGCTGATGATGCTAATGGTGATGCTGCTGATGATGAGGAGGATGAGGATGATAATGAGGATAATGGTGATGGTGATGATAAGGTTGCTGCCGTGGTGGTTGTTGGTGGTGATGATGATATGCTAATGACGATGGTGGTGATGATGGTGGTGATGCTGATGGTATTATGGAAGAGATGACGAGGATGAGGATGCTGAAGATGATGAGGGGGAGAGGAAGAGGAAAGACACGACCAGGAGAGGAGAGGAGATGAGAGGAGAAGAGAGGAGAGGAGAGGAAATGAGGGGGAGAGGAGATGAGAGGAGAGGAGAGGAGCGGAGAGAAGATGGAGGTGGGAACACCAATCGGGGAGCGGCGATGGATAGGGAGGATTAGACGGGGTGTGTAAGGATGGAGTGATGGAAGCAGGGTGGAGGAGGGCAGGGAGGCGAAGGAGGAAAAGGATGGATGAAGAGGGGGAGGAGGAGGAGGAGGAGACGGAGGAGGAGGAGGAGGAGGAAGAACGATGAGGATGGGGGAATGAGCAGCAAGGAGGGAAGAGTGAGGAGGGCGGAGGGGAAGGACGGAGTGAACGCGGCGACCAATTGTGGCAGTCGCGACCTAGCTTCTGAGGAACAAGTGGCTGGACATATTGTAGCCTCGCGCTCGAGACCGGAGCAGCGACTCATCCGGCAGACATGTGTCATCCTGACCGGCTCGGGCCCCTCTGACAGGACTGGGTTTCACTCGCCCTCCGAGCTCCACGGCCTCCCCCCAAAGAGCGCCAGACCCCTCGGGGCGCGATGGCGCGGGCCCGGCCCTGAGAGGGTTCAGGGGCGGGCGGCAGAAGGGAGGCCACATCGGGCCACGAGGCACCAGATCGGGCCGCCCAGGGCCGCTGAAGGCTCAGGCTTCAAGCCGCGGAGCGCACTTAGCTAAGAAGAGGTGGAACAACAGGAAGAGGAAGGACGAGGAGGAGGAGGAAGTGAGAAGAGAAAGGAGGAGGAGGAGGAGGAAGGACGAGGAGAGAGGAGAGAGGGGGAAGGACGGAGGAGGAGGAAGTGTGAAGAGGAAAAGGAGGAGGAAGATGAGTATACTCAGCGCCACAATACTGGCACGGCAAGGTTAGCACAGAGCAGGGTGCACGTTCCATCGATAGGGCGAGGCAAATCCCCCCATCGCCCGGACAATTTCAACATTCGCCCGCCCCCATGCCCCTGTCCCCCCCCCCCCCCCTCGATCCCCTCCCCCTCGGGCCTCGACGTCTCAAGCCTCGATGCCCCTCCTACGGCAGGTTCATGTCGTGCCGGCCCAGGCGTTGGTTCCTGACACCGCAGGATCTTTCAACCTTGAACGATCGGCCGTTTCCGAAATGTCGATCCTTAACCATCGACCGACTCTGGGTCGCCAACGCCGTTCAACGTTGAACGCCGGCGGGGAGTCGCCGCCAGTCGACACGACGCGAACTTGTATACCGTACCCGATTGCGGGGGGGCACAACGACCCCGATCCCCGACAATGAGGGGCCTTCGGCACGACCGGCAAATCGTGCCCCAACTCTGGGACGCGCGTTGGGGTGGGGGCGGGGGGGCGCCAGCGGGGGGGACGCCCGCGGCGAGGGGCGCGGAGCGCCCTCGGGAGGGAGCGCGGACGGCGTGGGGCGCGGGTCTCGAGCAGCGGCGCATCCCGGGGGAAGGGGGCGTACGTTGAGGTGAGGCGGCTCGAAGTTTCTGTGGGCCCCCTCGCGCGGCGTCCATGATTTCTGCCCTCGGCAATCTGGTGCCGGAGCTGGGGCGCAGCTTTGGCACAGGCCTCGCCGTCTGGGCGGCGCGAGGCGACTGCCCGGCTTGCACCTGCGAGCCCACCCTGCAGTGCCCTGACCTGCCTTGCGACTGCTCGGGGCTGCGGGGCGGCCTGCGTGGTGGGCGCGACCCTCGCCGGCGCGGCCGCCGGCGCTGCGGGCGCCTGGGTGGTCTTCCGCCTCCGCGGCCTTCGCGCCGACGCACCCGCGGTCAAGCCCGAGCCAGACGAGCTGGGCCAGGAAACCCGCGCGCAGGTGAGGGCGCTTCGCCAGCGCGCCCTCGCTCCACAGTGATGGCGCCGCCTGGCCCTCCAGCGCATCCTTCGCTCGCTGCGGCGGGCGCTGCAGTCGGGGACTTCATCGGGGTGCTGTACAACGTGGCTGGAAGGGCGCTCGTCCACGAGCGGGTCGTGGTGGCCTTGATTCCGGCCACCCCTGGCAACGCTTTGATCGTCACGGTGGACGGCGACGAGTTCGCGGAGCAGTACGTCGGCACGGCGGACGTGCGCTACTGGGACTTGCTGCCCCGAGGGGCGCCTGGCGGGGTTTTCCCCTGGGCGCCGTCGGTGCGGTACCCCCGAGGCGGCCGCGCTGACCGCCGCGGCCGGCTGGGCCTGCGCCCGCCAAGGCTTGGCGGCGCCCGCCGCCCCCGTAGTGCCCAACGTTGCGGGGAAGGCGCTCACGGTGGCCGCTCCCGCGGCGGCGGCGGTCGCTGCCCCCGCCCCGCCGCCCTGCGCTGCCCCCGGGCCTGTGGGTGGCGGCGTTGGCGCACTCGTGGCCGCGCTCGGGGTGCCCGCTGGCGGGGCTGCCGGGGGCGCGGTCGCACCGCCGCCCGCCCCAGCCACCGCGGTGGTCGCTGGCGGCCCTGCCGCCCCTGCGGCCGGTGGAGCTCTCGCGGCGCTGGCGGCGCCCGCCGCACTGGCCGCGGCGCCAGCTGGGCAGGCAGCTGCTTTCGCTCCTGGCACTATGCCCCCCGCTGCTGGTTACCCGCGCCCGCGGGCGGGGCGGCGGCGCCGCCGCTTGCCAGCCACGGCGGCGACGCCCGCATCTTTGCCGTCGTCAGGGGCGCGCGGGGGGTGCGGCGCGCGGGCTTCCGCGGCATGGTGGCCTG